TGAAGACATGAACACTTTTTACAATCTCGTATTTATGAATCGTGCAACAGACACACCCACCTTAACAATTTCAATATATATATTTATCTTGCTAAAGTCCATACACATTACAGATAACTTCTGAAGTAACAAATAATTGACACATCCTTCTAGATACAAGACATTTTTTAGCCACATATTCTTTTTATATCTATTTCTTAAGTGAATTCAAGAGGTTAATTAAGACATGTTAAGATGTCTAAAATTATACTGTTATTTTGTAATCTTTTTTTTTTTTTTATTGTCTATGGGCAATAAAGTGCTGCAGTGACATATTATTGTAGGCCAACCTGGAAATCTGCATTATCCCAGTTCTCTGAAAGCGGACTAGTGAATAAAGGAGTTTTCCTGTTCAGTGTGATGATGTGTAATGCCCCCGACAACCTCTGTAGTCCCATTTAGCCACTTGTTAGCAACCACCTTTTTAAAGATAACTAAAATCTTTTTAAAAAATCATGCTGTAAATAAAACCTGAAAATATCTTATAAACATGTTTCTGGGTTTTGGCTTACAAAAATACATCATCCCCGCAGCGCTCTATTCCCAGGAGGCACTTTCAAAATACAGTAAATGACAAAAGAAACCAGCTGAGTAATGAAGAAATATGATTAATCATAAAATGTAAAGAAAAAAAATTTAAAAATAAAAAAGACCTGAAATGCTCTTTAGCTTTAGGCAGTAAACTATGTACCCTCCAAACATGCATTAAAGATCTCATCATACAGACAAATTAAAATAATGAAATGAATAAATGAAATAACAGTTCCTTATAACACAGATATAAGTTTTAGGTACTGAGCCATTGTCGCAGCTAACTTGAGAGGAATGCCATTTTCTTAAAGGGATGTGGCTAAACAGCCCTATCACATCTATCACTATCACAGCAGCCTGTTAGTTGCACTAATGTCACAATTTTGTACCACTTTGCTCTTTAAACATAGCCCATAGTTGCAGCCTTTAAACAGACACTATTTTTCATATCCAATAACATAAGTGCTAATACTTCCAGTGTCTCACCGTTTTTTCCCCATTAGTTTTGTCTACATAGTCTCATCATTTACAAAAATTAGGCTAAATTCAGTAGTGCTATTCTAAAACACTATTATGTCATGTAATTAACTAAAAACGAAAGCTAGTATCACACACTCCCACGCTGACCTTTTCATTGGAAGGTTAAATGTAATCGTCAGCCCACACCAAACACGTCATTTGCAGCTCGATTCACTTAAGAACCTTTGTCTAGACGGCATTTGAAGGGGCCAGAAAAGAAAAAAACACCAGTCTATGCATCAGACTCAGCATATATTTTACACACGTTGCTAAAGACTCAGAGATATACATCAGTGTGTGTCACACCAAGGTTAAGTATCATTTAGGCATCTGTTCTTTCCACTTGACACTTTCCCTCCCTTTAAATGATAAGCATTTTGTTTGTTGTCAAATAAAAAACACTTTGTCAAGGGGCAGGGCCGTGCACAGACCTTTTGAGGGGCATGTGCTGAAACTGAAAAAGGGCACCCCCCTTTTTTTTTACTG